TTTGACCTTCCGTCAGCCTTCCTACACCTCCCACCACCAACCACACCTCACAGTCCCTTCACCAATTCCAACAGCTCTCTAATAAAAAGAATTCTCTGTTAAAATACTCACAATGCCGAAGCCTTGTTTTTTGTTTGCGAAATACTCCTGTATCTCTGGAACTGTACCCGTTGAACGTGTCCTGAAACCGGGAGCGTACTAAACGCTAATATACTAGGGGCGATCTACAGTACAGGGAAGTATGATATTTTGGGGGTAGGGCTGGTCACCTCAGGGGTGAGCATTTACTTTACACTGAAGCAAACTATACATGTCCAAGCAAGGCCCTGTTTGGCACGCCACAAATACCATGGGATCCCCAGTTTTCCAAAGCATTTCTGAGTGCAATAGGATAAATAAACTGTGGTGTATTCGGCACGCACATAAACACCATAGGATTTTTACACCTTCAGAATATGTTATTTTCTAGCACTATTTCTTGTAAACCGATTTTTATTAGGGTACAGCTATTCTTGCTCTATCATAGACACACATATATGACCCAACCCTTAGGCCTACGCTCTGCCTCTGCCCACCCATTCCAAAGGGCAGGGGTAGAGCGTAGACCTGAAGGCTGGTCTCATATATATGGAATATCATACCTGAATAAAACTTATGATAATAAATTCTCTTACTACACCGCACCCTACGCCCCCGATGAGTGATGAGTGACTAGAGGGCTGCCAACAAATGAGATTCTATTCCTTCTTTTTCTTAAGAAGGATTACAGTGGGAATTTGCAAATTTCTAGTTCCCCATATTTTCGATAACTCAATTCGGTTGGTAATCTTTGGGCTACCATCCCAGCTGGCGGCTTCCGCATATGCCCACGAGTTTCGGGAATATTTCTCGCTACGGTGGACCGCCACCCCACCCGTGCCATGCATTTCCGTACATCCCACCAAAACCAATTAATAATACTATCCCTATCCCTCCTCCATTCCCCTCCAGAAAGGCCGACCACCACCCTATCTCCCAATCGTGCAGTTGAAACGTCAGGCAGGGGCCGATGTCGTAACCCGTTTTAAGCTTCATAGTGCTGCCCCCGGGAGTGAGCGTAAGTGGAGCGCAGTTTTACAACGAGCTGGGTATTAGTATAGAAATACAGGCAGATTACGGAGCTTGAGTGATATGTTATGATCAGAATTTTCCTGGGACGCAAGCTTGGCACACAATGTACCGGCAATTACTTCCTA